CCACACCTCCTCTTGCACTTCCTTTTCTTGCTTCCTCTCCTTCCCTTTTGCCCCTCTTTCCTTTTTCCATGGCTTCCATGCTTGGCCAAGGGGCCTCCCACCGTGCATAGGACTGTCACGGAACCTGCAGAAGATACCAAAGTTCACGAGAGCATGGGGATGATAAAATAATGCATAAAGATTATCAAAATAAGCATTACTTTTCATCAACACAAAAAGAAGCCATAAGAGGATAATGAGGTGGGAAAACCTAAGAAAAATAAGAGGAAAAAGACTTAAATACTACCCCTAAGAGTGACATAAATGTCACTCATCAAGCAGCCACATATGTTTTGACTTTAAAGTCGTCATCAGTGTCATGGTCCGAATAGACCTCAAATCCGGTCGTAGGCCGTTTCTCATTAGGAAGACGATGCCAAATGTTCGGGGGTTTCTGTGTCCCTCGGGAGAGTTACATCACCAACACTGGACTCCGGACGCCTGTCCCTGCAAAACAGCGGAGACTCCAGTTGGGTGGAGTTCCGCCTCCGACGATCAAGTTAGAACGTGTTCGGAAGATAAAAAGTGTGAAATGTAAAGTGGGATCAGGTTTCTCTATGGTGAGAGATGATCATCCGGTTCTCATAGACAGCCTCAATATCTGAGTATTTACTCTCGTAATTTGTGTGGATTGAATGTATTCCCTCCCGTTCCCTAGGTGGGAACATCTCCCTTTTATAGGCTCTCGAAGTGTGTGCCCAGTCCTAGGTTACGGAAACCTAGGACTGATTAGGCTGCCTAGGAGTTTGGGCCCTTGAAAGCCGCCTTTTCTAGTTGGATATCTGTCTGCCACATGTAGTGCCCTGATTGGTCCACTTTGGACTCCTCCCTGGGTGACACGTGGCAGACTCTAGTTGGTCCACGTGGCGGGGTAAAAATCCCCTAATCACGTGTCATGCAAAGTAATTTTACTACATTTAATAAAAAATAAATTAAAAGGCTATATTAATAATATGTACAAAATACATATGTAACATTTTTTTTCTTCTTATTTTTTCATATAATGAAATAGAACACGGAATATAATAATAATAATAATAACAACAACAACAACAACAATAATAATATTTTTATTATTATTATTATTGTTGTTGTTGTTGTTGTTGTTGTTGTTGTTGTTGTTGTTGTTGTTGTTGTTGTTGTTGTTGTTGTTATTATTATTATTATTATTATTATTATTATTATTATTATTATTATTATAGAAAAATAATAAAAACTTACAAAATCAATCGATTAACAAGAAATTAGTGGGGAGCCGAGATACAATCTGGGACCCCACCCCTCTAGCTATAGCGAATCCGATCCTATTGAAGATGTGAGCAACTGCATGAGCACCAATATCTAGAGTCCTAGCGAACGCCTGAACCCGCTTCAGCAACGCAAAACATCATTCTCTAATTCCCCCAATGAAGAAAAGTAGAAAGGGAAAAAACCATAACCAATAGCCCTCCAACGCGCCCCATACTTGTCCTGCTTCCGCTGAGCCACAGCCGACACAACACGACCAGGAATGAAGTCAGACAACCCAAATTGTGCCAAAGGAGAAGACCCCGTCAAGTCAACACATACATCAAAGCCTCTGTCCCAGAAATAAAGCAACACATCCGCTGGTCAAAGTGCCCCGTCGTTCCCTCTAGTCAACCCAACGTTAACCTCCTCTCTTGCAGAAATCCCAGACCGAAAACAAATATCAACTAGGATATCACGAGCAACGTTGTGGCGATGTTTAATATTACTATTACTATTACTATTACTATTACTATTACTATTACTATTACTATTACTATTACTATTACTATTACTATTACTATTACTATTATTATTATTATTATTTTGGAACGGGTTGGTCGAACCTGTTGTGGGTATCAATTCGGCCCTTGAACCGGTGCCAATTTTACTAAATGGGCGTTGATTCAAAATCGGTGCAAAAAAAAAAAGGGGGCAAGCCCTTGGATACCTGCGGATCAAACTAGTGCCCATAGGGGGTATTGAACTGGAGTCCATTTAGCGTTTTTAACTAGTATGAGAATATTATAAGAGCTATGTAAGAGATTAACACTATGTTTGGATAACACTAGTGAAAGGAAAGGGAGGGGAAGGAAAAAGAGGGAGGGGAAAGGGAGGTGAGGGGAGGGAGGAGGTGACCTTCCATTTTCCCTCCAAATCTTTCCAACAATGGAAGGATTTGATTTATAGGGGAAGGAAAATGGATCCTTCCAATTCCCTTCCGTTCTTTCCTTACATTAGGTATCCAAACAAAGGATGATGCATCGTTTCTTTTCTCTTCTCCTCCTTTCCTTTCATTTCTCTCTATCCAAACATAGTGTAAGTGTTTGGGGTTAATATTGGATACCTGATTATGGTGAAATTTGGACTATTTATACCGTAGAGGTGATAAAAAAAATCAGGCCGAGCCTTAACATCATATCTGGTGCCTAAACCTGAAAAAAGTAGCAGGCTTTTCGAGCTTTCGAGCCAGGTTCGAGTTTTTAACTAAAAATGTGTTTTCAGGCTTGCCCAAACCCAGACTATCGGGACGGAAAGATATTGATCACCTCTACTATGGGGTAGTAAATAGTGTGGGGCCCTTGAAACACGTGTCGCATTATGAACTATACATGGTCTCTGGACTGCAATAAGGGTGCAGCTAAAATAGCTACACCACGCCCTATAAAATGAACATAAAGTAAAAAAATATGAACACTAAAAAAAATATGAACATTTAGTAATAAAAAATAAACACGTTAAAAAAAAAGTGAACATTTATATAGTACTAAAAAGTGAACATATTAACAAAAAATGATCATTTAGTATTAGAAATGAACATGATTATCATATAATCTAAAATACGACCTTCAAAATGCATGTAGTAAAAAAAAATTATGAACACTTACTAAAAATAATTATCAACATTTAGTAATGAAAAATAAACCCGTAAAAAAATGAACATTTAATAATAAAAAGTGAACACGTAAAGGAAAAAAAAATTAGTTCATTAAAAATGAACATTTATCATACAATCATAGAATAGTTGGACCATACCTAATATAATGAGAATTTTATAAAAAAATATATGTCAACATTTCATAAAAATATATGAACACATTAAATAAAATGAACATTTAGTATACAAAAATAAACACGTCAAAAATTGAACACGTCAAAAAAAATTATGAACATTTTATGTATTAAAAATGAACCTGATTTTTAGGTTCAAATTCTTTGTATATAATTATTAACGAGCGAAAAATAAAGTTAAATTAAATCATTAAAATATGTTCATTTTATAAGTACTAAATGCTAATTTTAGTGTACTAAATGTTCATTTTGAACAAAATGTTCAAGTTTAAAGTACTATGTGATTATTATTTTATTATTATTTTTTTAATTTTTTTTAACAGAAATTATACACAAGTTTGATTGTAATTATTTTAACTCAAAAAAATTTGAATTACCACCTCAAACCTAATTTTGGTTCATCATAGAGACAATAATTATCGATCTATAACATAATAATTAGGAATTACAAATGCAAACTTGATAGAAATTAACAATTTTATGACATTCACATATTTATAAACAAAAAAAATACTCAAAAATTACTTCAAGATTCCAATCGCGATGAAGATGATGACAATGGAGGATGTTACAATGGTGACGAATTGGAGAATATCCAAAGTAGAAGGACAAAGAAGTTTAAAAGTTGAAGAAAAGTGAGATAAGAAAGAAAACTAACTTTTAAGGAAAGGAAAACAAAAAGAAGGAGAGAGAAAATTTCGAATTGAGCTGAAAATAGAGGAGAAAGAAAATTAGTAGATGTAAAAAAGAAGAAAAGAGAGAGTTGAGATATAAGGAATAAGGAAAAAAAAATGTATGTTCAAATTTGAACTACTATATGTTCATATGTGTCTATTGTAACTAGCTTAGCTGCACAAGCATATAGCTAAGAGTTTGCGTATAGACTATTTTGCTTGTATTAGACATGATTTAAGCATATTGGGCTTGGGTCCAATTACAAAATAAGATCCAAAGTGGATGACCATTTTGATACCTAAACACGGTTAATATTCAGCACGCTTCTTTTAGCATATATGTTTAGTGTTGGATCAAAATTAATACTAACAACTTACTCAGCATTTTGCATCCATTCTTAAAACTCTAACCTTGCTCCCCTACCCCTAGAAATTTAATCCGTAAATTGATAGATAAATTGAGCTCTAATAAGGTCAATGAAATCCTCCTTTTTTTTTCTCTCTGAGCAGAGTACTAATAACAAAAAATGTGTTAGGGTTGGTGAGTGCACAGCGAAGTAAATTAAAAATGTAGAGATTGATAAAATTATTAAGAGAATGATAAAGGCAAGAAAAGTAGTACAAAAATGAACACACAATATTTAACGTGGGAAAAATTATCCAAAAAAACCCCACGAACGACGAGCACCGAAATAAGTTATTATATGAAAATAGGAGAGTATAATAACCCTTGAAAGGATGAGTAGTACAAGAGAGCTCTCACTATAAGAACTCACAAAGGAGTAGTGCAGAAATAGGAATAGTGGATTTGTAGAGAGGTCTATAGTACAATGAGGTGTAGTATGTAGGAAGGCTAGTGTGTAAGGTATGGCTTCTTATGTGTGTGTATGTCTTGAATGCCCATGACTCATATTTATAGTAGTCGATGGAGCTTAGAAGAAATGGCTGAAATATTCTAGAAATTCCTCCATCATTCTTGTAACAATGATGTTCTAGAAATTTCATGAACCATGTATTATATTCTAATTGCTTCTAATGTCAATAATGCTCTAAAACATTTGAGTAAGTTATTATTCTAGAGAATTCATGAGCAAGTAATGACCTTGCTTGATCATTTCGAAAGCTTCTAGAATATCCACAACACTCCACCAAATTAAAATAATGGGTCTAGTAAATTTGGCCCATACCCAACAAAATGAGAAGCTTATAAAAACATAAATAGTAAGTGAATTCCTTCATAGCTCAATGTAACGCTAGTATATTACACAGACAGGCATTCATATTTAATCAGTAAATGAAAAAAGAATGAACAAAAAGTAAAGATGTGACGTATACACTCTACTACAGGCGGCTTCCAACAAAAATAATTTATATGGTTGTAGCAGGGTTTTTAAAACTATAATCTATGTCTTTCATGGACTCACAGTGAAGTTGACGCGTAAAATCATTGGTAGTGTCCAGAAAATATAGCACAAAGGTTATTAAGCAACAACAACCGAACATAGGGATGGGTCCAAAGATCCATAGGAAGAGGGGGAAGGATAAGTAGAAGGCTCGCAAGCCAAGAGTCCAGAAAAAACTCCCTCTGTTCAAGCTTCGAGCAGCATATTCCATAGCTTCTCTTTTGCCTTGTGATGTAGGTAAGGTAGCCAAGAAACTCACATGCGCGTAATATCTAAGTGACTGGACATTGCAGAGAAAGGCTACAAGGAAACAAATGATGAGTGCAAAATACTTGACTGCTGACATGATCTGGCTCTTGTTGCCGAATACTAGTCTGGAGGATGCATTCGTAACTGTTGAGGTGCTGCTCACAAAGACGCCGATGACTGAGCTCAGAGTAATAGCTGTAGTTGCCAATAGGGTTGATGCCATCATATTGTTGCGAAATGTTTGAACCATTAAAACACCATTTTTTACGGGATCCTAGAAGCAAAACCATTGTATTCAACCACCAGAAAGTATATTCCCCATAATACTATCATCACTGCACATTCAATTCATGCAGAGAACCATACACACAGACAGCTACAAACAGTACTATAATAAGTTCAGTTTACAGTTTATATTGTCTTCATCAGATATATCACAACTTGTTCCTGCCATATGATACGTTGTTGAATTAATGTCGTAATTTTTCCCTGTTTCAGAAAATAATATAAATTCCCTAACACTTACAATTTTAGGCTCCTACTTCTTTCAATATTAGCTAGGCAAGTTGATCGGTATATTAATAATCGACAATGACTGCAAAAGATGAAAAACCCAAACCAATATATCTGACTATCTAAGCTTCCTCTTATTAAACAAAATGTTTTCTAATATTCCATATGTTCTTAATTACAATTTAGTAGACATTGTTTTTCGTGAGCTTCATGATGCTCGCAGTAAAAATATCTGATTCCATTTTATGCAGTTTCAGTTGTTTTCCTTGTCATAGGGCCCGTTTGGCAACAATTGATAGCTGATATCTGTAGCTGATTGTATTAGTTGGTTTTATCTTGAAAGAGAGAACAAGTTAGCAAATATAGTAGATTCAAATAAGCTAGCTTCACCCAAGAACAAAAATTCCGGGCAAACTCACCTTAAAGATACTGTCCTTGGTCCCACAAAATGGCCGGCGCAAGATGGATCAGTATTGGTTGATACAATTGCTTGGTACACTAAGTACTGGATGTTTAGGCACCTAAAGTCATATCTTATCTAAAAAAGTAACTTCTAGCTTCTGCTTAATGTACTAAGCATTGATATTCATCCTTCCCCAAGGATACGAAGATAACTTATATAGAGGAGTTCTATGAAGAGGAAATGAAGGACATCAAAACTTTCATACTGGTTAACCAGGATGCCATCAACAAAGGTGGTATATTCGTTCACGACATCAGAAATAATGAGAACTGCAGCACCCTCTGATGGTTTTGCTAACTGGCATAATGTAGTTTGCTACAAGTTTGCTCGATATTGGAATCAAAATGAATGCAATGGCACATTGGCACCTGAAAAGTTTAATGCTAAGGACATAAGCTTTTGGGATTCACTTGTACAGAATTTAGTGACATTGACAAATTGGAATCCTTCACAGAATATTTCTTTTCCCCACTTATTTCCTTTTCTAGGTTGTACAAACTTTTGTTCGTTTTCAACAAAATCATCTTAGTTTTAATCATCTACCCCCATTCCTTGGACCAAACACCTAGGATATTCCAATTATCAAAGGACAAGAAACCTAAGGAATCCAAGAAAACTTTAGTTCATATTTCTTTTGTAAATGTATTAAATCTTTAATGTCAAAGCTTGTAATTATGCTGTTATGCTTTAGAGAGTTCTGAGTCTGAATTACAGCAGTCCCACACATGCGCACATCAAAGAAGATTAGAGCAGTAGCAGCAGATATAGTACAGCAAGCTAAGAAGATAATTAAGACTAAAGTGAGCATGATAATCCAGAGCTGCATAAACAATCAGCATTCCTCAGGCAACAAATTTGATACAATATAATATAATCAGAGGTTTCATACAGCAGACGCGAGTTGCAATTAACCTGACCTGAGAAAACTATCTTTAATACTAAAAAAAACAATAGCAAGTTTCAGCAGCTCTTCTCTGAATAAACACAGAACCAGTGCTGCAGGAAGGCTATTTTGTCTTTTACCTTACTTATGCTTGATATCATTAAATACTTATTTAGTGATTAATTGTAATTAATTGAAGATTATTGATAAAATCAAATCCTCAAAGAAAAATAATAAGAATATGATAATATTCCTTCTCTTTGCAGCATGACTCACCAATTCACTCATGAATTTATCTTCCAATGAATCCAATCACTATAAATCATTACTCCTTTATTACATATTTACATAGAATTATGACTTAATTGATTTTTTAATACTAAGTCAACCATCTTTTCTTATCACTATCGTACAATACACCTTGATTTTCACAAAAGAATAAAATAAATAAATAAATAATTGTATTATCTTTGAATATACTGTCAGCATATATAAGAATATAACATTATTAAATAAAATAAAAAAAATAAAAAATAAATAAAAAATAAAAAAATACAGCACAAACTATTAATTTTTTTTTTTTTTTTTCAAGGGCGTAACAAAAGAAAAGAAAAGAAAAAGGTTTATTCAAGCTGAAATAGATAATTTAGAACAATATAATTTAAGTGAAATCTCCACATGTGTACATTAAAGGTCTATGTTTCATTAAAAAAAAATAAAAAAAAAATTACTAGTAATTTTCAGATTTAATTAATTTTAATAAGGTGAATGAACAGTCACATACTATAAATTCAACAATGCCAACCAAAAATTTACACTTGTCATAAAATCGTAATAAACAAATATATGAAAATACTCCTACTGCAGGCAGTAGCATGACTCACCCATGAATCTATCTACCAATCATTAAAAATCAGAACGCCTATGTTACATAGAATCATTTCTTATTTGATTTTTTTTAATACAAAATCAGCAATCTTTGATAATTTGATTACACTATCTTATAATGTACCTTAAAATACAAAACAGAAACAATATACTATTATCTTGGAATATACTGTCAGCATATAAATAATCGCAAAATGTAAAAAAAAAAAAAAAAAAAAAAAACAGAAAAAAAAAAATAAAGCACATTCAATTACGAGTAACAATAAACGATTTATTCAAGTTAGTATCAAATAACTTTGAACAATATAATCGAATTTTCAAAGAAATTCTCTTCGTCTTAATAAGTTCAAATCAAATAATATTGGACGATAAATTTAACAAATATTCAAAACTTAAACAAAAATTAACCAAAATCTGATCATGTAATATAATATTATATTCAAACTTCGAAAATGTAAAAATTGATGATGGTGAAAGGAGAAAGAGAGCTTACTTCCATTAAACAGAATAGCCATTGGGTACGACTCTCAGCGTTAAGGCCGATAACAGTGTTTCGGGGATTACGCTTGATAGTAATGACTAACCAAACGTTATACACAGCAAACACGAACAAACCCAATGAAACTAGCACAAAATCGAGTTGCTTCACTTCCATTTTAGGACGAAAAAAAGACAGATTGAATGGATTGTGTTTCTCTTCAAAAGGTTGAAAAGAAAGCAAGAAAGCTAAATAGAGTTGTCAAATGAAAGAACAGGAAACAAGTGTCTTAACAATGAAAGCAATATCCCGCGGAAAATGATTCCTTTAATAACGGTGTTCGAATACGACGTTTTTTTTTAAATGGCGGAGTAATAAATAAACAAGCATTTTGTTTGATTTCGACAGCTGAGTCCTTTACTAATTACTATTGGACATTTGTTACTTTATTTGGTTATTATAGTGGGATCTCGCTGTTTAATGGAACATGAATGTGATGTTTATTTAAAGTCAAATTCTTACGCTAACAACAATTCGTTTTGCAATTTATGACTAGAAGTCTAGAACTACAATTTATACGCCGTTTCTATTTCATTTGACTACTCAGAGTCACAACCTTTGAGAATTGAGACCCGTAATAAAACACAAATTCCTTAAAAAGGCGAATGTACGTTAATTTATTATAAGACGAATTAAAATTATCATAAAATTATTTAAAGTTACCCTTTATACTACAAAAGTTATTATTTTTTTAATAATAAATTTTATCTTATAAGAACTTATAATGTATTATATTAATCAAATTAGCCTTTATAGTATGTAATTATAAATCTATAAGAAATTACACATTAAAATAAAGTTCAAACCAACGATAAATTAAAAGTACCCTTTAAATGGTCAAAGTTACCATAAAAATAGTTAAAGTTACCATTAAGCTAACCGTCTTACAATCAAATTAACGTACACCCACAATACTCAAGACTTATTGGTGATAAAAAGAACATTGTCAATTTTTAAATCAAAGTGTGAATTCAAGTTCGTTTGGTATCACTTTTGTTTAGGGTAAAAATACCCCCAACACGTGGTCCAATCCTATAGTGACACGTGGCCTAATAGCAATGCGACACATGTCCTAATGGGAAGATGACACATGGCAAATAAGAGCACCTGAATGAGAGAAAGACCTCCTTACATCAGGAGGCCCAAATCTCGGGGAAAGCGCTAGGGAGGGGTGGATTGAGACATCATTTATTGCATAAGCAAAAGAGCTCTAACTTCTCTCTACTTTCTCTCTCTAAAACTTTTCGTTTTTTTATCAGTAACTTGATCATCGGAGGCAAATATTCTGTCAAACGGAATATTCGTTGTTTTGCAGGTGTCCAAGATTGTCAAACTGTGTTCAAGACCTATATCCCGAAGGATTCTAAAAAACCCCCAAAACATTTGGCGCCGTCTTTGGGAATACATGTCTGAAATGGCTAAAGATGGTCAGACACCCGGTCTTGGCCAAGAGGGACATGTAGAGACAATCATTGCTACAATCAACAATAGTGATCCTCTAACCGCTTCATTCCACGAGGCGGAGGATCCCTCTGTAACATCCGGCTCCTTGCAAGCCGCCTTGGACAAGCTCCGAAATGAGCTTGAGGGTAATATACCCTCTTCTTCTAGACAGCCGTCCAGAAGAAAAGGAGAGGGCATCCGGAAAAAACCCTAAGACAAGACAACCAACACTGAAGATGCAGGGAATACCCCGTTCAGAAGACATTAGAGGTCCCCAAGGGTGCCTCGGATGAACTGGTCCAGGCTTCTTGAGAAATCGAAGTCGGTTGGGGGGCCGACCAAGCAGCCTCTAAGGCAGCCAAATGAGCCGTCTAAACACTGGAAGAATGCTAGAGACTACCTTCGGCACAAGCGGCAAGAGTGGGCACAATCCTACTATACGGACACTGCTTCCACTCCTACCATGCCGGATGAAATGTCAAACCATACCCTCTCCAGGCATACCAACTCGGCCAGGACCAGCAGGAGTCAAGCTCACTGTACTACAACTTCTGTTCCTTTAACTCAACCACTTCAGTTTCAAACGCCCCATAACTATGGTGTAATTCCACTGCCTACCCCCCTGTGTATGCGAAGTACGGGCAGTATGGCTGCCGTATGACCAGGCAGCTTACCTGCCGAATCGGCCGCACAACCTCAGCCTATTGATTGGCAAATGTGCTTGTTAAATCTTGGTGAAAAGCCGTCTGCATTTTCTCAAGAAATTCTCAACTCTCATTACCCTCCAAAGGTGAAGAGTGTACTTGTGGGTGCCTACGACGGTACGGGCAACTTGGAAGAGCATATCTTACAAAAATTTGATGTACCTGCAAAACGTGGATGATGCCACTTAGTGTAAATGCTTCCCGGCCACTCTCAAGGGTGTGGCTCAAGATTGGTTCAACAGTCTGCTGGCCGGATGCATCAATTGGTTATTACTACTCTCAATTTGCTGTTTGTCGGAAAATTCTCCTATAACATATCGCCCCGGAAGACTAGTCTTAACTTGGCGGCCATCGTCCAAGGGAAGAAAAAGGGGTTTCCTTCGTACGTCCAAAGATTTACCATGGAGAAAACACAGATTCAGAATCTGCCGGATGAAATGGCCTACTCGGAGTTTCTTCAAGGTTTAAGGCACAATGGTTTCAAGTTTGACTTGATCAGGAAAAAGATTCGTACATACGCCGGCGTTCTGCAGGAGGCCGAATCATACATAGAGTGAAAAGAATGGTGTCCTTCGAACAAGTGTATTATTTAGATAGAGGGTTCGGAATTAATTAGAAAGCTAATTATTCAATGAGGTCAAGTGATCAGAATGCCTAGCTGGAGGCCGCTTCCGATCAATAATATTTATGAATAATTAATATTACAGCTTAATCTTGACTGAACCCTTCGGGTCACACCCAATCGTGTAATCGAACCAAAGCGACGAATTAATCCGAAGGATTAAATGAGTCAATAGAGTTTTTACGAACAAATACGTCGAATTCCAAGCTTAGAGCGTCGAAACCGAGCGTCGTAAGTCGAGTCGAATTTAGGAAACGACGAGACGGAAAAATCAGTCAAACGACAAGTCACAACGTATAGCCCTAGCCTCGGAATGGCTGAGCCATCCGAGGGCTAGGGTAATATGGCTAGCAAAGGCTTCCAGCATGCGAGGCATGGCCGCAAGCCCAACCGCAGCATGCGCGTGCTAGCTTGGGAGCTGCGGCATGCCGAGCTAGCTAGCAGCTAGCATCGCTGGCTAGCTGGCACAGCAGGCCAGCATCGCTTGCGCGCGAGGCATGCTAGCATGCTAGCAGCATCAACCTCGCACCATCGCAAGCAAGGCCACTAGCTGATGCTTGTTGGGCCTTGCGCGAGGAAGCAACAATAGCAGCACGCAAGCTAGGCTTGCGGTAGGCACGCCAAGGAGGTCACAAGCACGCATAGCTTGCTGAGCTGAGCATCCAAGCGTGCGAGGCCAGCTAGCATGCCCAGCCAAGAGGCCAGGCCACCAGCGAGGCAGCCTTGGCACCTAAGGCAGGCCACGCCAGCTGGTGCGCTGCGAGTGGCTAAGAGTGTGTGTGTGGGAGCCATTTGTGGGTTTGCTTGGGGAGCAAGGGGAAGATGGTCCTCCCCTTATGGTCCTCACCTAACCCTTTGCTCTCCTCATGCCACTTGTCGTTTGGTGATTCATTTGGCGTTTTGATTTAATTTTAGAATTAAATTAAATTCTATTTTGCCTTTTTACCAACTATCCCACATTGAAAGATGATGGGATTTCAAGGGTACTCTTCCCTATAAATACCAATCATTTGGCATTTGGGAAAGGCACTTGAGTTGGTGAACTTTAAGGGATCTCCAAAGAAGAGAAAACCTTTGTTCTAATAACTCTTAGTTGTTTTTGGTCTAGCCCCGACTAAGCTTCGGGGTAGGGACCGGTTCGGTTTGGTAGCGAGGGTGTGAGCCGTTAGAGGTTCTCGCACTTGCAAAACTTGAAGCTTTCAAGTCCGAGCTCAAAAGTTGAGCGAAGCAAGCTACAAGGGTGAGCAGTGTCTCTCTTCTGTCTCTTCTCCTATGTTTATTTTTATTTTGCATGCTTTTGTTTATGTTGTAATTATTATGCATGCGATCCGGTTATCGGGTTTTGTTTCTGCGCGGTATTGGACACCACAAAACCTAACATAGAGGAAGCTGATTTCTGTTCGCTCACAAAAGGCAGAAGAGTCAGCCAAGGGCGCCTAGATGAAACCATCTTCTCAGCAAGACTCGGCCGGCAAAAAGAAGGAAGGAGGTAGCAAAAGACAGGAAGTCTGGGTAGCTGATTGCCCACAGACTAAGTCCAAGAAGGCTAAGATATACGAGCCACAGTACGAGTACAATAAAGATTGCTACTCGATTTTGATGGAAATTAAAGACAAGTTAAAGTTTGAGATGCCTCAGCCTTTGAGGGGGTCGGCCCAATACAGAAACAGAACTAAAAACAAGTACTGTCATTATCACAAGGATATAGGGCATGATACGAATGAATGAAATAATCTAAAAAGATTGTTGGATAAGCTAGCTGAGAAGGGCATGTTTAACCCGTACGTTTTGAAGTCCAAGTTCACCAACTCTCAGACAAACAACAAGCCTAAGAAGAAAAAGGAACAGAAGAAAGATGATGAAGATGGAAATAGCACCAACTCAGGGTTTATGGCCATTATTTCAGGCGGCTTTGCTGCAGGTAGTCCAACCATGAAGGGAATCAAACAGGATATCCAGCAATCTAGAAAGGTCATGCATACGAAGGATGTCAAAGATGAGCCATTCCCAGAAGTGATTGTTTGTGAGGTCGACCGAGGCAAGATTAAAACTCCCCATGATGACCCAATGGTGTTCATATTGAAGGTTGCCAATTTGAAGGTTGGACGAGTGTTAATAGACACTGAAAGCTCGTCTGATATTATAAGCTTAGCTTGTTTGAAAAATTTGAAGTTCCCAGAAGATGCACTGAAGGATATCTCCTACCCATTGGTCGGGTTTGGTGGGAACATCATTCATCCAGTTGGCTGAATAGATTTTTCCAGTCCGATTTGGGCCAAAAAGAGAAGGAAGGGACATGGTCGTTTGCTTCTCAGTTATCAAAGAGCTCACAGGCTACAATGTTAAAGAACTCAGCAAAGGCTGTAATTATCCCTCACTTAATGCTGATGAAGATCGAGCAGTTGGACGAGAAGATAGACTCCATTCAAGGAGACCAAGTGATGGCAAAAGACTGTAATCAGCTAGTCGTGAA